TTTTTAATACCGTATAGTGAATAGAGTACCGATTACAATAAAAAAAACTGAAGAGTTCGAGGTAATCTTTCTGATACCACTGCCTGGGAAGGTACTATGGTCTGAGTGGTAGGAAGAATTCTAAGTTCTCATACGTAACTTAACGTTCTAAAGTTTTCCATCATTTGCTTTATGAACGACTGCGAAAAAAAAACTTATATAAAAAGAAGTGGTGAGAACTAGTCTGACGCGGTTAGTGATCGAGAGTTGCCAAAGTTTGATCGGAGGAGATCTCTTAGTAATATGCTGAATGACTTAAAAGATTGTCTATTCACCATGAAAATTCCGAACGACCTACTAAAGTTACAACACATTGGTCCAGAAGTAGCAGGAAATAACTACGAGTGTCGATAGTAATGACTGACTAAAAAGCAGATCTACGAGACTCGGCTGAAGATGATCTTTCATAACGTGGCCCAAACTAGGGTACATAGATCCTAGAGTTTGTAAGTTGACCAGCAGACGAAATGCTGAAGGTAAGAATACGCATAGTTGAGAGCAGTAAAGCTGAATACGCATAGCTGGGAGCGGTAAAACTGAAGACTGAATACGCATAATTGAAAGCGGTAAAGCTGATGCTAATTGAAAATTGCTCTTCTGCCCTCCTACCTTCCTCTTCTCCTCCTCCATCCTATTACACCTCGTTTCTTTTTTTTTTTTTTTTTTTTTTTTTTTTTAGTAGGTACGACTGTTCATACCCTCAGTATATGGGTGAGGTTACGTGTTCTAACAAAATGTCCGAGGGGTCTTAGTACATCCTGAAAGTGGCGAGAGATAAAAACCATTAGTGATCATAGTGATGACTGAAGGCAGTGGTGAAATAGCTGAAATCAACAAGTCCTGAACGTGGGGAGGGATAAAACAACAAGTGATCAATAGCAATGACTGAAGCGGTGGGGAGAACGGCTGAAATCAGTCGGGATCCTTGTTTACAAATACCAGATCTATCTAATTAACAAAGATTCGAGATGGATCCTCAAAGCGGCGAGAAAATACCACAGATGACCATAGTAATGGCTCGCCAAGCGTCGAACCTTGAGCGAGATTACCGTTTCTATCAGCATATCAGCGGGATTCAAAACCGACTCGAACGCAGTTATGAACAAAATACTGGTTATCCTAGTAACGATTGAAAGCGGCCTGAACATGATTGAGAGCTGCGGGATCTGATTACAAAACCGGTCTCAAATTCATAACAGAAAAGTTCTAGACAGATCGTGAGAGCAGCGGTAAAAGACTGCGGGTAATCATAGCGGCGACTGGCTTAGCATCATTCGTTGAGGGGGTTTACCGGTTCTGCTTGTTTGCCAGGATTTATCTGCGAAACACAGACCCTGAAGGTAGCAAGTAATAATTACAAGTGATCGTGGTAGTGACTAAGAATGACGGAGAGATGGCTGAAAACAATAAGGTCTGCTACCATGCTGGTTCTAACCCATGCAACAGAAAAACGGATCCTGAAAGCAGCAAAGATTTCACTGCGAGTGATTAGGTAGTGACTATCCATACCTCTCGTCTTTGAGTGAGGTTACCAGTTATATCTGAATGCCCGGATCTGATTACAATACAACTACGAGTGCTCATAGTAAAGACTATCCTACCAGCTCCCGAGAACAGTCTAAGATTGACCTTACGCAAAAGCGAAAGGTTAGAGTACACGGATCCTAGAATTAGCAGGTTGAACACTTAGCAAAAACTCTGATGGTAAGATTACGCAGAGTTGAGAGTGGTAGAGATTGAGGGTTAATAATAAACTTGGACTTCGATTCTTGTACTTCCTCAAGCGGCTGCTTTTAAAGTTCCTCCCACTTCCTTCCTTCTTCCCTTCCTCTTTATTTAAGGTGAGGAATATCCCTACGCTCCTTCTTTCGAAAGTTTAAGGTTGCATGAATGAGCGGGATCCGGGGTCTTGTACTCGAGTAAAGGTGAGGCGATGAAAACCCTGTTCTGAAGTTATCAGTTGGTAATTCCTGATGAGCTTTTAGAGTCGCAAGTGATCTTACGATATCTAAGTAATAATTCTTAATAACACATGCTCTTGATCCCGAATAAAAGCTGGTGAATTCGAGAAGCTTCGTTTAGATACTGCTGCGTTGAAAAGTATGAGGGATTGAACGGCGATCATGAATCTAGCTTCCTCTAAGTAAGTAAATGGATTTAGAGTTCGCCGCTGGTTGAAACAGAGTTGGTGAGAGTTATTTCTGATGAGGTTGGTGGTTAATGGTTCGTAAATATTTTGGTGTCGACGAGAGATGATCTTTTAGCAACCACTAAACAGCTAAAACGACTGGCGATTTTCGAACGCAGATCACGAAAACAGCAGAGAATGAGCTTTCAAGTAGTCATAGTGGCATCTACTCTTCCGGATTTTGGGAAGGGCCAAAGATGGATCCTAAGCATCATGAGGAAGGTTTATCGTGCCCCCTTTTTTTTTTTTTTTTTTTTTTTTGGGACGACTGTTCATATCCTCAGTATATGGGTGAGGTTACGTGTTCTAACAAAATGTCCGAGGGGTTTGAATACATCCTGAAAGTGGCAAGAGATAAAACTTTTAGTGATCATAGTGATGACTGAAGGCAGTGGTGAAAAAGCTGAAATCAGCAAGTCGTGAGCGTGGGGAGGGATAAAACAGCAAGTGATCAATAGCAATGACTGAAGCGGTGGTGAAAACGGCTGAAATCAGTCAGGATCCTTGTTTACAATACCAGATCTATCTAAATAACAAAGATTCGAGATGGATCCTCAAAGCGGCGAGAAAATACCACAGATGACCATTGTAATGGCTCGCCAAGCGTCGAACCTTGAGCGAGATTACCGTTTCTATCAGCATATCGGCAGGATTCAGAACCGACTCGAACGCAGTTATGAATAAAATACTGGTTATCCTAGTAACGAGGCCAAAGATGGCTCCTAAGCATCATGCGGAAGGTTTATCGTGCCCGATCATAAAATGAGCAATGTTGAGAGTTGAAAGCAGAGCGACAACTGACTTTCTGACTCTCCCGTTTCTCAAGCAGTTGCTATTTAAACACTGTTCCCTTTATTTTCCTTCATCCTCCCTCCTTTGCCCGACCGGCCATTCGTCATAAAATGAGCAGGGTAAACAGTCTTTATCAGAGTGACAGCAAAGTTCGAGAGAGTAGATATCCAAGACTTCAAATAATAAAGTTAGGTAACCGCTAAACAACTAAAATGACTGATGACTTCCGAACGCAGAACCCGAAAACAACAGCAGAAAATGAGCTTAGACATAGTGCTAACTACTCCTTCGGATTTGGGAAGGGTCAAAGGTGGTTCCTAAGCAACAGACAGAAGGCTTATCGTGCATGATCATGAAAACAGCAACTGAGTTCTAGAAAAAAATACACAGGTTAAGTGATGAGAGATGAAAACAGAGCAACAACTGAACTTTCTGACACTCTCGTTCCTCGAGCAGTTGCTAGTAAAGATAGTAAAGATAGTTCCCTTTACTTCCCTTCATCCTCCCTCCTTTGCTCGCTCTACTCTCTTTCTTCCTTTCTCATTCCCCTTTTTTTTTTTTTTTTTTTTTACTAGTCATTCATCATAAAATGAGCGGGTAACCGGTCTTTATCCGAGTGACAGCAAGGTTCGAGAGAACAGATAACTAAGACTTCAAAAGATACCTGGCATGAAGTAAATAAAGGGAAGGTAAAGAACGAGGTAAACGAAGGAAAGGTTTGAGGGCGGGGAAGGTGGGTAACCGTTAATCAGCTAAAATGTCTGATAATTTCCGAACTCGAATCCCGAAAGAAACAGCACGGTATGAGCTCAGACATAGTGATAGCTACTTCTCCGGATTTTGGGAAGAGCCGAAGATGTAATCCTAAGCAGCAGACAGAAAGCTTATCGTGCCTGATCATGAAAACAGCAACTGAGCTTTAGGCGACATCAAAAAGATACACAGGTTAAGTGGTGAGAGCTGAAAACAGAGCTACAACTGAACTTTCTGACACTCTCAAACCTCGAGCAGTTGCTAATAAAGACTGTTCGCTTTACTTCCTTTCATCCTTCCTCCTTTGCTCGCTCTACTCTTTTTTTTTTTTTTTTTTTTTTTTTTGAGTGACAGCAAGGTTCGAGAGAACAGATAACTCAGACTTCAAAAGATACTTGGCAGAAAGTAAATGAAGGGAAAGGTAAAGAACGGGTAAACGAAGGAAAGGTTTGAGGGAGGGGAAGGTGGGTAACCGCTAATCAGCTAAAATGACTGATGATTTCCGAACGCAGATCCCGAAAGAAGCAGCAGAGAATGAGCTTAGACATAGTGATAACTATTTCTCCGGATTTTGGGAAGGGCCGAAGATGTATGCTAAGCAGCCGACAGAAAGCTTATCGTGCCCGACAGAACAAGGGCCGTCGCCGTGCTAAGGACCGGCTTATCGTGCCCGATCATGAAAAACAACAACTGGGCTTTAGGCGACATCACAAAGATACACAGGATAATTGGTGAGAGCTGAAAACAGAGCTACAACTGAACATTCTGACACTCCTCGATCCTCGAGCAGTTGCTGATAAAGACTGCTTACTTTACTTCCCTTCATCCCCCTCCCTTTGCTCGCTCTACTCTCTTTCTTCCCTTCTTTTTTTTCTTTTTTTTACAACTGGCCATTCATCATAAAATGAGCGAGTAACCGGTCCTTAGGAGAGTGACAGCAAGGTTCGAGAGAGCAGATATCTAGTACTTCAAATGATACTGAGAGTAGAAAGAAAAAGGTGAGGAGAGAGAAGGGGATGAGGATTGGGATATCAGGGGAGAAGGAAGGGTGGAAAGGCGTAGGGCCTGCGGTCTCCTGGGAAACGACCAGAGGTTTGCAATGATGACCGGTGGTTTTGGTGATTTAGAGTTACTAGAACTCTTGACGGTGTTCCATGCCTTTAGTTGGCACGAGCAAGGTCTGAAAGCCGGTCCAGAGGTTCGATCCTGGAGGGGGTGAATGGGACAGTCGCTAGCACATTCCAGGCACGGTCCTCCTGCTGCTAACCACGTTTCAATGAGATCTTCAAAGCACTCATTCTCCCATCCCACTTCTCCCGTTCTCCTCCTCCACAAGCCAGTTGGTTGAACTCTCCCTACCAACTACTGTTCTATTGCGAGCCATAGCTCTATTACCGGTAGATTGACGATCCTGCTGAATGAAGTTGCGAAAAGGTTGGGGTAGAGAGTTACGGGAGGTTGACGCTGCTGTGAGGGTCGAATGCTGAGGTAGTGAAGGAGTGATTTCCGTGCGGTGGTGATGGAGGGTGGTTGCGGGAGGGAGGCGTGAAATGGAAGGAGTATTGGCGCCAGACTACCGTCTCTACTGGCTGTGCACCATTCTCCGAACGAAATGAGCTACGCTGACTCCATCGGTCTGCAGCATGATGCTCTACTGGTACGCTGAAAAGAGGTTAGACCGAACTCAATGGTTAACGAGGAATAGGGCCGACGTAGTGAAGGTACCGGTTCTCCTTGATCTAGGGTCAGGAGGGGATGGGTAGTTTTACTCACAATCAAACAGTAGAGCTATGGCAGGGAAGAAGATTACCTTGGTAACGAAACTTGTTACTTACTCCCGGATTTTCGCGCTGTAAAACGCGAAGGCTGAAGCGGAAGGTCTCACACGTCTCGTGCGTCTCTCTGCAGAGCTGAAGCTTCACGCGGCGGCGCTGGTCAACGGGAAAATCCGATCGTTGAAAATGCACCCGACGCTGTAGTGATTTGCCAAGAAGTATTGCCGAGCCTAGAAGGGCAGTTTTCAGCTGCTGGCGGCCTTGCGAGTTACCGGGCCCTTGAGAGGCCGAATCTTGGTCCTGCAGGTCCCTCGCCACAATGCTACCCCGGAGAGGGGTTATCGGTACCTTACCAGTTTAGTGAAATAAGCCTCCTTGCTGGTCCTCCAAACGGGGAGTCTTACCACGGCTCAAATCTTGACGGTCGCTACTGGTGCATCCTTCGGTACTGCTGCCCCGGTGCCCTTGCATCCGATTGGTAGAGAGGGAGGTCAAATCTGCCCTCCTGCTGGAGCTGCTGCTCAAGACCCGGGGTAAGTGTCAGACTCATCTTGCCTGCTGCAGTTGGAAATTCGCGCTCTTTGGTGAAATGACGAAACCGTAGTTTCCGCTGAGGTGGTGACAGCAAAATCAGAGACCAATCGAAAAAAGGAGGCTACGCCATCTGTGCCAGCATTTATGGCCTTGTCGAATCTGACAGGATATATGGACTGGMCGAATCTGATCACCGTGGAGTCCTAATGTGTGTTTAGAAGGCGAGGTTTCTCACCTTCTATTGGAAGGGTAATGACAGTATGCGGGTTTTAGTCAGAAGTGTAAGAGGGGTCTGAGCCATTCAAAAAATACTGACAAAACAACCATCATCAATTTGCAAGGGAAAAGAACAGACTCAATTATTATAACAAATTCCTWAAGTAAATATTTGCAGAGTTTGAGTTTAGCAATGACTGACGGAAGAAAGCTCCTCAAACAGTTGAGATAAGAGGAAACTGGAATTCTGGGGTACCCCTCATGCACCTCCTAGACCACCTAAATTCACCACCTACATTCACCAAGAAGATTCATCTTTTTGTGTGCAGGAAATGGTTGCTGGCAAGGTTACTTAATGGAAACAAGCAATCAGGTGGTTCAAATGACAAGAATGCGATAGCAGGAAGTTATGACCAAGGATTGGTTGAGTCCGTAGAGTTGATTGCCCAGCATGGTTTGCCAAAAAACGGAGAGAGGGAGAGGAGTAGAATGATGAGCTCTGGTACCGACGCGTTGGGTGTGCACCGAAAAAACCGGCACGATATTGTGCAAGAATGTTCACGACACAAGGATAACCAACGCAGACCGTCGACACCGCCCGTTTTTTTTAATATAGGCTTCCCTGATTTGGAAAAGTCGGGTGAGTAAAACAGTATGCATGTTCACATACATATCACTGTATGTAAACATGTGAAGTTTCATAAAGGAGCGTTTGGTCAACGTGTAGAGAGAGAGAGAGAGAGAGAGAGAGAGAGAGAGAGAGAGAGAGAGAGAGAGAGAGAGAGAGAGAGAGAGAGAGAGAGAGAGAGAG